CCAACCATACGCACGCTTATGGTACTCACTCTGCGACCTCCGTTCCCGTCACCCCGAACCACTCGAAGAGCCAGTACCTCACTCCAATTGGGCACCCAAGAGAGGATCACTATGATAGCGACAGCACCGTATCCCTCTCGGCCTCCGAGGCTGCGGAAGAGGCTCTGGGTTCCCCGCAGCATATGCGCTCCACCGTCCCCAAGAGCAGCACCCTGCTTCAGACAAAGTTGTTCGGCCAGGTGCAGAAACCCGGCGTGGAGCGATCTCGCCCTGGCAAGCGCAAGGCAGGCGGTGACGCAAACGTTGCCGCTGCGAAGAAGTCTAGGGCTACGAATGGTATTGGCCTGGGCATCAACGCCTGAGTCCATATCCCGTGGCTATACGAAGAACTAGTGCCACCAACTTTGATATGATTCATGACCTAGCGCTGCTTTGCTTGTTACGATTATGGGAACCTCACGAATGACGAAGACATGCCAAATGTGGTGTTTTCAAACTAGCGACTGATATTTTTGGATTTCTTTTGGGGGATTTTTTTGTATGAAGAGGCCATGCGACAGGTGATCCATGGCCCTTCACATATGGTGTTATTAAATTGGTATTCGGTATGGAAATCATGGCTGAGTGTTTGTTCTGCCTACATTAGTCCCCGCGGACTAAGGGTGAAGTGGATATCTTGCAGCTATAGATGAGAATTTGGGATATGAATTTGGGATGGTACAACCATGTAAAATAGGAATAGAGCCTTCAGAGACCAATAACGAATTACAATATTGAAAGCAATATTTGAAAGTTATACTCCGTAGGACCAATCGAATCCATCCAAAAAAATGAATTATTCAAGCATACTCCGTACTTGATATCATAGGAAAGCCTAAAATCAAAGCATAAAAGAATAAAAAATAATAAAAGAATAATTCTGGCAGATTACCGAATTCGGCTTGGTTAGGGCTCGCTAAGCGAGGCGGTGTACCAGTCAGCGGGCGGCCACACGAAAAATGGGAACTTCATTTTCTGCCGTGAAGGAGGATCTGACCAGCAACCCTCGACGACCACCACCCGGCTCGATCCCCATCCGTCACCATGGTGCGTTCCCTATCCCTGCTTGGAAGATACAATGAAGGATTCGACTTGTGCGATTGAAAGAAATCGACGGATCGAAATACGCCTCGAAAAGAACGAGAGAAATGGTTGACTAACCGATTGTGTGTGGGATATATAGGCGATCAAGCACAACAACCAGATTCAGAAGAACCGTGAGTGACCCGTCGCTTTGCACCTCTATGTGATCGCTTCAAACCCGACAGAAGACACAGGAAGGTCGAACTTGAAGGAACAGTGATTAACGAATTCTTGAATAGACTTCCACAAGGACTGGCAGCGTCGTGTCCGTGTGCACTTCGACCAGGTACGACTATCCAACACTCCCCCGACCAGAGATTTTTTTTTTTATTCCGAACGACATCGCAAGCGACTTGGAATCGAGGAAAAATTTTCTTTGCAGGATATGAATTTGGTCGACTAACATGAATCGCACAGCCCGGCCGGAAGCACCGTCGTCGTGAGGCCCGCATCGCTAAGGCGGCTGCTGTTGCTCCCCGTCCGGTTGACAAGCTGCGTCCCGTTGTCCGATGCCCCACCATCAAGTACAACCGCCGTGTCCGTGCCGGTCGTGGTTTCACCCTCGCTGAGCTGAAGGTAAATTGAGCCGCATCGAAAGTGGAGGCAATATGGAGAAACAATTTACTGACTCGAAATCTTTTTTTGCGCTTTATAGGAAGCTGGTATCCCCAAGAAGCTTGCTCCCACCGTCGGTATCTCCGTTGACCACCGCCGCACCAACTACTCCAAGGAGTCTCTGGTTGCCAACGTCGCCCGTCTCCAGGACTACAAGGCCCGCCTGATCCTCTTCCCCCGCAAGAGCGGTCAGTTCAAGAAGCTCGACTCCTCCGCTGAGGAAGTCAAGGCCGTCAAGGCCACCGTCGCTGAGGGCAAGCGTGATGGCATCGCCACCCGTGTTGAGGCCACCTTCCCCATCACCAACCCCACCGCTGCTGAGGCCGTTACCGAGGTCAAGCGCGACTCGCTCCCCAAGGGCGAGGAGGCTGCTTACCGTCGTCTCCGTGACGCCCGCGCTGAGGCCCGCTACAAGGGTATGCGCGAGAAGCGTGCCAAGACCAAGGCTGATGATGAGGCCGCTGCCAAGAAATAAATGTGTTAATTCCCTCCTCGTGCTGATGATGATGATCGGGTCGGTTTTCGAATCGGGGATTAGTGTACTGTGGCATGGCGTTGCGCCTCTTCCTTGATTCCCTCTCTCCCTCCCAAACTTTACTCCTTTTTGTCTCTAAAAGAAAGAACTCGGAAGATCTCTCGAAATTCAAAACCGCCCAATTCTCTCAATCTTGGCTTTGTGCCTATATATCTCATACTTCTGTGGCTGTCAAGGTGGTAGTCCAGATCTTGGATCTTGGGCTTCCTGTGACGACAACATTGAAAGCTTTTTGTAGTTCATTTCGTTATATACTTTGTAGCTTTGCTATGGATATATGTCGGTCTTCAAGGTCTAGTCAGATGGGAGGCAGCATGTCTTTGCATGTATCCACTCTATGAACATACCGCAATATAGCGACCATGACTACGTACCCAGCTCGTTTATGAAGATAGAAAAGGTGTTATTTCACAAGTCACACATTAGAGGAATACATTAAAACTTGCAGTCTGAGCTCTGCTCGGGTATCTTAAGAGAACTACGCTAAATAACTAGTTACCCCAATGCCTAACGCTGACAATGGCACCAGAATACCAAAAAAAAAAAATCAAAGACCACCGAACAAAGCACCAAGGGCACCTTCAGTGGCCCTTACTATCGCATCAACATGGATACCACCCTCCACACCTTGCGTGACGAAAACGCCATTCTCGCGTAGTAAGGCATGGAAAAGCTTCTTCGTCTCCTGGTCGATTTTCTTATCGACCCCAGGGATCGACACGCTAATCTCAGACCGCAGCTGAGGCTCTCCGGTCCACTCATCCAACACCAAATTATTGGACAAAAGCACACGGGGACTGGAGTCAGAGGATTTAGGTTTGATCACCATGGCACTCCGATCTAAATGTGGGACCAATCGTCGCAGTTCAGAAAGCGTGATAACACCGTAGGTGCTTTCCGATGCAGTATCCTTTCTGCCCTGCGAGGCCGGAGGGCCATACTTATGGTCAATGTGTGCCCATAAATGAGCGCGAGTGATTGCAGATTCCCAGTACCGGTTGATGCCCCAGCATAGAGTTGCCACATCGAGATTCAAGAGAGGGTTCTCCAAGCGGGTATCAATCCACCGGCGGAGAGCTTCGGGGACTTTTCTTTTCTTGCTGTCGCTGCCAGTAGGTACTGACAGGGAAGTCAAAGACTGGGTCTCGGGGTTTGTCTCATAAACAACCGTCACATTGTATAAACTTGCTGGGAATGGAGATGGAGGAGAAAATGTCAGTGTGTGTGTTTCTGACAGCTCCTCTCTGTGTGATGATCGAGTTGTGCGGGTTTTGAGGTTCAGGGGAGCGAAGGCTGTCAGGTATGGCAGTGATTGAGACGCTTCTTGCAGGGCAAATGGATTTGTTGGTAGTGATGATAATTCACGTTTTGGGTGAGGAATATTGGCGGAGAACGGGAGTAAGGTGGCGAGCAGGGATGATATTGATTTAGACGCTGTTCGGGGCGCTGGGAGACTTGTACGATTCACCTCTTCCGATGTAAGTAAAGACCTTGAGATTGTTAGCAGTATTCAAGTTAAAGTTACTTGCAGAACTCACAGAAACGTGTCGAGACCTCTAGTGTCGCCTTTCAAGTCAGGATTAGACTCGATTTTCTTTGCCCATGTTTCCAATTCTTTAACCTCGTTTCTCAGCCGTCGCACATCCGCAGCGCTCTTCTCGCGCCAATTGCGTTTCTCGCGAACAGCCGCTGAAACTCCACCCAGGTCTAAAGCTGTCTCCAAGTCCTCCGGTGGAGGAGATTGGAAGTTTACTGCCTTGAGTGGGCTTTCGTGCAATGAATTGGCAGTTCGTCGTTTCGCTCGTTTCTCCTGTCGCCTACTAGGGCTGCTACTCAACTTCCCTCTAGATCGATCCGGGGCCTTTTCCAGACCTAGTTGTGTTGGCGTGGGGGGAAGGTCGGGTTCGAGGATATCTTCATCCACGAAACTAGATTCCGGGCCCATATCCATATCGAGCTCTCTTGTCGCACTGCCCAATTCCAATGCCAACTGACGCTCGGGGGTATTCGATTCGAGATTTTTTGGCTGTGGCATTGGGGACCCAAATACCAAATCCCCAGGGAGAATTCTCCTTGAAATCCTGCGCGGGGGTTTTGAGAATGCTTGAACGCCACTTGAGCGCCTGTTGGGAGAACTTTCGGGCGCTTCAGAGGCTCGAGGTCGAGTGAGGGGACTTGCGGAGGCATTGAGCGAGGGTCGGAGCGCTTTGCGATCGCGTAATCCAAATTTTCGAGGGTCTTGTTGCCTGCTGTCTTTATTTGCTGGTCGTCGGGCAGGAGATCTGCTGATTGCGCGCTCTACTAGATCGGGGTGTGATCGTGCGAGACTGGCCCTCGTTGGAGACTGGAAGGATGGTCGTCTGGACCGATGGGGGTCATTTTGAGGAAGATCTGGCACCACAGAAATGTCTGTAGTTTCGCTGGTTTTCCGTTTTTTTGCCGGGGAATCCATTGTCGCGTGGGGTGTTCGTCTTACCCGGCGCGCAGATGATGACCTCGGGAAGATAAACAACTGTCCGCTGTTTGTAGTGTTTGCACTATGACTTAATCTCCCCTCGTCAATACAGGAATATCTAGTCTTTCTCTAACTCACACCATGGAGTGTCTCTCGGCAGGTACAAGACACTCACTGGGGAGGTCTGTATCTCAACTTTGCTCTTTTCCTGGCAGAACATTTCCCTCATTTGCTTCATATCGACAATATGTGCTGGTTCCGACCCCCCGGCGCATGAACGGACACGGGCAATCCGACCAACCCGATGCCTATAATACCCCAGCTTCCCTAGAGGAAGCTGCGGACTCCCCTCAAGCCCACCCTCTGTCGGGATACTATTCATTGATATTGAAATCGAGCTCACCATATGGTGGCGGTGCATCGACATCGCGCCCGACGCCTGCTCGGCCCGAGGCCAAACCGACGCCGGCATCTACCGTTATACCGCAATCGCCCCAAGAAAAAATGGCGATCGTATTTGGCACCCGTCTTGCCGGCCCAGGCCGATCCTCGCGCTACAATCCTGGTGAAGCTTCCCCGGAGTCAACGTGGAAAACTATAAATGGAGTCCCCATTCCTCCCCAACCCGAAGAACCGGACAACTGCTGCATGAGTGGGTGTGTACACTGTGTCTGGGATGATTTCAGAGATGAGATGGAAGATTGGGCATCCAGGATCGCAACGGCCAAAGCTAAAGGTGGGCCTGAGAAGGGAACGAAAGACATGCGCTCGGCGCCTCGAGCGGAAGTCCGCTCAGCCAGTGGAAGCATGGATGATGATGGCGGTGGCAGCGAAGCAAATTGGACCCCGCCGAGTGAAGATAATGACCTGTTTGCCAATGTCCCTGTTGGTATCCGGGAGTTCATGAAAACGGAGAAAAGGCTAAAGGTGAAACATCAAAAGGAGGCTACACTGTGAGCTTTTCAGGCCGATGTTTTCTTGTTGATTTTTATACCCTGTTATACTACATTGGAACAAATTGGGGGACCTGTAACTAGAGCGCATCAGACATAGTATATGGTATAGATATAGACTATACATAAGACCTTCAAATGAGGCCATGAAATTTTATACTATGTTCTAAAAGAAATTATTAGAAACTTCTGTAATATGTGCGATGTAACTACGGAGTAGTGCAATCCTTATATGATCCCTGAATGATAATGGATATTTTGCTAGTTTCATGTAGGTCGGTTTGTAGCGTGCCAAGGTCGGGGTTAACGGCGCGCGGTTTTGTTTTTTTTTTTTAATCGATCATACTCACTCGAGTTCTCACCCAGATACAACAATATGGTACTCGAACTGTCAATTCCGCAACGTAGCTGACTTGTTGATCATATTTTGCTTCCGCCCTTCCCTTTTTTGCTCCCAAGCCCCAAGGCTACTCTGTTCCTTCGCTATTCCGCTACTCCGTGCCATGCGCGCGCCTACTCCAAACCTTCTTCGCTAGGGCTGTGAGCCACCGATTTCCATAATGGCAATAGGCGCAAGTGCCTGCGTCCACCTCCGGAACATCAAAAATGTGTGTCTCTTTGCTCGAAATGAAGCCTGCTCCACTCCGCATCGGGGACTCGTCCAGTCGAGGTTGCCACAATTCTCACGAAACATACACACAATTCGCCCAACTGCCATACCACTTCGATCCACTCGCAAGCTATGCCTACTAGGACCTATCATTTCGGGCAATCAGTCTGCACTCAAAGGACACCGGCCAATAACCGGTGCTCACTATTCCACAACCCCTCCACTGCTGAGCCAACTGCAACAAGATACTTCCACTCAGATCGCCACTGTACAGCTACCCATCCAACGTGGTATATTATCTACAATCAACGAAGATGCAAGAAAGGTGCTTGAGTATGCGAATCGAGACATACTTTGGGCGGACAGCTCTAGGAGGAGGGAGGATCAGTTGCAACCACGACTTCCTCACCATGATCCCAATGATATAGCGCGAATAACAGCGAACTTGCCGCAATTCGAGCACGAGGCCAATACCTCCTGCAATCCAGATTTCCAAGCTTTCAAAAAAGAAGAACTTACATTGCCTGTGAGGCGTTTCACGAAGCAAATTTTAAGTGTCATTGATAGCAATATCTACAGCATTATTGATGGAGGGTCTGACTCTAGAAAGACCACCCAGGTTCCTCAAATTATCTTGGAGGATGCAATCAATAAATCTTCTGGGGTATCTTGTAGGGTTCTCTGTGTTCAACAAAAGGAACCAAGGGGAATCAAAATGCCACAACGAATGGCCCACGAAATATTTGAAGAACTGGGTGATACTACCTCTTATGGGGTGCTGCCCGATCACATTGCTCCTGGGGAGAAAATCACGCATTGCTCTAGGCAGGGTTTGCTGAGAATATTGAAAAACGGGCACTCCAGCTTGGAGCAATTCTCCCACATCATACTGGATGAAGTTCACTTACGTTGTCTCAATATCAATGTGGGAATGATGCTTTTGAAAAGATTTGTTGAACAACGCAAGTCTATCGGGGCATCTGTGCCGAAGGTTATATTGATGGGCTCATTTACTCATGTCGATGATTTGTGTTCCTATTTTGGTACCAAAACTACAGACGGCACGCTTTTGCCTGCTCCTTATGTGACTCTTCCTACGAGGTTCCATGTGGAGAAGCATTATCTTGAAGAAGTAATGGGCAACATTGCCCATTCTTTGACACCGGAAATCTTATGGCCTCTTCTTCATGACGACAAGGCTACAAGACAATTCCTGGACACCCATTTCAAAACATTCGAAAAATCGGAAACCGTAACCAGCAACAAGTCTTGGGAAGAGGTACCTTGCGGGTTAATTTCTGCGACTATTCTCTCGCTCTTGTCTACAACAAACACAGGCTCCATCTTTGTCTTCATCCCAGGGTCTTCATACACTGGGAGAGTCATAAATCAGATCAAAGCCTTTGGTCCAAAGCTGGGATTCGATTTTGCAGATCAGGATCGCTTTAGAATAGATCAGTTTCACGGAAATACAGCAAAAAACGAAAAACACAAAGTTCACTTTGATGTTCCTCCGGGTTGCCGAAGAATTATCATTTCAACAAACGAGAGAAATTTCATACCTCCAGACGTGAGGTACATTGTTGACTCTGGCAAGTCAACTTATTTGCGGGGGACTCATGGGCAGGCTGCCAGCTGGATTACTCAAACTGTCGCCTTGCAGCGGGCAAAGTGTGGAGGCAGAGTCCAGGCTGGAGAATACTACTTCCTTGGTGCCAAAAAGTGTTTTGATTCCCTTCCAGTTACCAGATCTCTAACTGGAGCTGCTCACTTAGATCTCCAACAAGCCTGTTTGCATGTCAAGCGAGCGACCTCTGGAACATCCTCAATCGCAGAACTTTTCGCGCAAACCTATGCGCCACCTCAAGAATCTAGCGTCCGTGCTGCAGTGGATGATCTGAAGGAATTGCAAGTATTGGATGAGCGGGAAGAACTCACCGATCTTGGCCATATTCTCGTCGATTTGGATATGGATCCATGTTTTGGGAAGATGGTTGCTCTGGGCGTTATTTTCCAATGTTTGGACCCAATGCTGATCCTTGCGAGTCTCGGGTGGGACCCCAGACTTTTTTCACAATTGCTTTCTTCGCCAGATGCAGGCGTGGATGGACCTTTCAGTCGTTCTATCAACGAGTCGGGCTATCATGTAGCTATCACCAATACGTTTGGAGCCATTCGAGAAATGTTGCATAAAGAGGGCAAACTTCCAGCTTTTGAGAATGCAGTCTCAAAATACCATATTTCCAACCTTTATCGTATAGCGACTTCGGAAATTGAGCGAATTATCAGGAGATTAATCGCAGCCCAAATCATTCCTGCAGGCAAGTTGCCCAGTGATGGGGCCTCTTTTAGTTCCATCGGCTTGAATGTCAATTCCAAGAATGAGGCTCTTATCAAAACACTCTTGCTGCAGTGTCTGCCCTCCAATCTGGCTGTGAAAGGCTTTGGTTATTCAACCATCAAATTCAAATCCGGAGAGATTGTCGAACGGGATCCAAATTATTCCATATACAAAAGCTATATCATGGCTTACAACTTCGGGTCGGTCCGCACAAGCACGCCTAATGGTATGAAACAAAAAACTCAGGTCAACCCACTGGCCGCCTGCCTCTTGGGGAACAAGATAAAACAGGAGGAAGATAGCATTATCTTGGATTCGTGGGTGAAAATCAAACTACAAACTGTGGAAAGCAATGAGGTTGCCAAAAATTTGGTTCAAACACACAGAGTCTTGAATGAAGTCAGTATATTCTTCTGGTTTTTCGATCTGTGCGCTAACTTTGATTCCTACAGACCCTTCGCACTGCCTTTAGGATACTTCCTCGTCAGACAAAGGCAAGCTTCGACTCCCAAAGGGAATGGGTTTCATATCGTAGGGCTCGCCATCATTTCTTCAAAACCATTCAGAAAACACTGCAAGATATTCTCCATGCAAATGATCCACCACTGCCTCCCGCTGGAGCAGGGAACTAGGAAAGGCATATGGATTACCACATGGACGCAGAGGACATACATATAGATGGAGAAGACATGCACAACAACACATACAACCATATTTGTAATTATCAGGACAGTTATAAAATTATTGGTTTGATTAACCAAGTTTTCTCAAAATAAACTTGAGGACTATTCGAGAACATGTCAGATATTAGCATACTTTGTGAGAGGTAGGGCGATCATTCAACATGGACATTGTAAGCTGTGGCTCTGCGGATCGCCAACACAGATTTTATGCTGCATTTCCCATGCAGAATTCATTATAATCTCCGCATAAAAGAGCTAGCTATACATAGAGCCTGTCAGCACTATGTCGGCACTATGTACGGAGTACTACAAGCGACGAAGTGTGGCGGGACTTTGGTCGTATTGGTCAATACTATGCATATGTGGATGTACAACGTAAATATTTAACCTATCGCTTATTTTCTTTTTCTTTTGGGGGTATCATATGATTAGAGTATATATATAGGTCAAATTTTAATTATTAGATCAGTTAAAAAACAAGATGTATACATGTTCGATAAGTAGTGCCGATTCCCAAGTCATTCGGCCCCCTTGGGTTCACACTTGGGGCCCCGCCATCCTCCTCGACTATATAAAGACGGAATTGATAATACCCAGGTAATCTTTGGCAGTAATAGCCTAATATCCCTTAGTGGCACATTTCATCGCCCATAATGTACTCTGTACGATGTACTACTACAAAAAAAAAATTAGCTAGGGATAAATCTTGAAATTATGTGTGATGTATGCAAGTCTTGTACATTTTGTATAGCACCAAAATGCAGCTAAAACATAAAATTTAAAAAAACACTAGGTATGTAGAAAGAAAGCTTCTATATAAAGTTCTATGTATTAATTTTAGAATGCTTAATACGTCTTAGCAATAACAATGCCAAAATAACTCAACTTGTTTGACACAACATTGATAACCTTGCAGATTTTTTTAGCTATGTAGGGGGTTGAGAGAAAATGTTATGAAGTTTTTGTACTATTTCTATAGTGATGGCATACAAAAGATACATTGTTTCAGGTTGATTCTTGTGAAATTTATGATTCTATGGGGTGTCTTCCAAAGGCGCTTGGCAGAATTACATTAGCTTGGAGCACTAGCTTCTGAGGGTGTCTAATGACGTATCTAGTACGGAATATCTGACATTTCAACGTTTGATTGTTATTCAAAACATCTGGACCATGTCTTGTAAGTATCTTGGTGAAGATCGAGTCGGAATCTCTTTGAAAGGAGGGGGGAAAGGCTTCTCGGGTCAAAGGACAACACTCTCATAATATCTATTTGCATAAAAACCAAGTCCAAGCTGGGAGACCTGCGCAGATGCCCAGGCCCCCTTGTTAAACCGGAATTGTGCCGTGGAGAGTGCGGGGCCTGGATTCAAAGATCATCATAAATGAATAATTTTGAGCATTATTTTCTTTGTGTCACACAAGTGAGAGTGACAGGGGGGGGGAGAAGTATAAGTACCCTCAAAATGTCGTGGATGTTGTGAATATTCTCGGGTCTCATTCTTGATAGCCCTAATCTTGGCCGTTCTTCCTGCTCTTTTCGGACTTTCAACAATGCAAGACTTCCCAAATACAGCTCTCACTTTGCTGAAACTGAGCTTGACGTTAGTAAGTGCACATTGGTCTACCAGGTTGTTTCATTGGAGCTTAACTAATCGAGAACTTACTCCTCAATAGATCCCACTTTACCTCATCGGTCTGCTAGTCTACAATGCCTACTTCCACCCTCTGGCCAAGTATCCTGGACCAAAATCCATGGCAGCCACACGTCTACCTTATATCCGCATGATCATCAGTGGCCGGTTCCCACATAAGATGAAAGCATTGCATCAACAATACGGCAAAGTGGTTCGCATTGCCCCCGATGAACTTTCTTTTATAGACGGCGAGGCCTGGAAAGCAATCTACGGTACACGTGTTGGTCATGGCCAGAAGTCCAAAGATTATCGATTCTATGGACCAACTGCTGGAGGAGTTCCCAGCATCATCGTCTCCAATGACGCCGACCATTCCCGTTTTCGACGTTTGTTGTCACACGCATTCTCCGACAGCTCACTACGCGGTCAGGAACCTATAATCAAGGGCTATGTCGATCTTTTGATGCAGCGCCTACATGAGAATATCAAGGGTGGCACAAACACCGTTGATATGGTGGCCTGGTACAACTTTACAACCTTTGATATTATTGGAGACTTAGCTTTCGGGGAGCCATTTGACTGTCTCAAAAATTCCGATTATCACCAATGGGTATCTATTATCTTCAGCGCGGTCAAGTATGCTGCCTACACAAATGTGGCTCGGCGCGTCCCTGGATGGACATACATAATGCCATATATCACTCCTAAGCATGTGATCTCGCATAGGAGTACACACCTAGCCTTGACTAACGAAAAGGTCCAGAGCCGGATAACCAAGTCTAATGACAGACCTGATTTCTTCGGCAACATTCTAAAGCACCAAAACACCGAGAAAGGATTCAGCATCCCAGAAATGATCACCAATGGTAGTACATTGATAATTGCCGGCTCTGAGACCACTGCAACTTTGCTCTCTGGGGTGACTTATCTGCTAGCGAGAAACCCACGCGTGCTGGCAAAGCTTCAAGATGAGATCAGATCAACATTTACAAAGGAAGAAGAGATCACCTTGGAATCCTGCAATAAATTGGACTATTGCCTGGCCGTCCTCACTGAGGCTCTTCGAGTGTATCCGCCTGTTGCAGTTGGATTACCTCGTATTGTTGATTCCCAAGGTGATATGATTGCTGGAAACTGGGTACCAGGAGGGGTGAGTACAGAACCAAGTTGCTTGCAAAGTCACACAGCACCGCTTACACCATTTATAGACCATTGTTTCCGTCTCTAATCTAGCTGCCAGTCACTCCTCTGCCAACTTCACCGATGCAGAGCAGTTCGCCCCAGAGCGTCATTTGGGCGATTCTCGCTTTGCGAATGACAGTAAATCTGCAATGCAACCGTTCAGTTTCGGCCCTAGGAACTGCATTGGACGCAAGTAAGTTCTCAACTTGTTATATTTATTCGTTGGTTGCTCATATATATATCTCTCTAGTCTGGCATACGTCGAAATGCGTATCATTCTCGCTCGCATGGTCTTCAACTTCGATATGGAATTGGACCAGCCTGAAGAAGACTGGGCGGATCAAGAATGCTTTCTACTATGGGAAAAGCCAAAGCTGATGATGAAACTCAAGCCGAGAGTTTATTACCAATGAAGCTGGTATCACTAAGGCTACGGCTCTGTAGGGATTTGTGCCTGAAGGACTCGCGGGGTTGAAGCCTGATATCAGATTGGAGTTCATACAGTTCGGATTTCTGACAGAAACTTACAAGATCAGAGATAGCCTTGGCCATATTTCTATAGTTTTGAGATTAAACAAGCAATCAAACCACCATGGCAAGCGCTATATCAGTGGAAGAGTGCCCGGAACTGTTCGATCTGATAGAGATATTGGTGCCTAAGGTGTTGACCTTATCGCCCAAGTAAATTTCGTGCTTATTGAGGACTTCTCGTCGGTATAAGCTCTCATCAGCTATTCACGTAATATACGTGTCCTTCCTAATCTCATCTTAATTAGTTACATCCGTGTACAACATAGTACAGCGACTCTACATCTCATTCATCTCGATTTATAGATGGCTGCTTACCGCCTCCGCAATATCGGCAAAAAAAAAAGGCATCGCAGATCCCAAGCGCAAAGACCGACTCGAATCCGCCAAACAACTCAATAGCGAGTACAAAGAAACCAACATGTCGCTCTCTAAAAGCGAGTCCGACGTAATCCTTAACCGGGCCAACGTCGCTCTATCCCGCAGCCAACGGCTCGTAGCCTCATGGCTACCGCAACAAACAACAGAAGAGCTAGCAAACCCCAAGACCGACGAAGAGCTCCAACGAGAAGAAGATGAAATCTTCACCGCAGTGCCAGAGACGTAAGTGCTGTTCCAACCTTCCCCACTTATCTACAATCCAGGCATATTCCTTACCATCATGCCCCAATTCCACAAAATATACCCTACAAGCGCACCAACTAACCACATTCCCCAAATCACAGTCTCGGCGTCGGAGCCCCCCTCCCCCAAAAAGCAGCAGACGGAAGTTGGAACCGCACAGAGCTGGACTCGAATGATAAACTGCGCAAACAACTTCTCGGCAAGAACTACGATCGCGTTATGAAGGCCGCCGCCGAGCAGAAGGCGGCGGCTGCTGCTTCTACGGCCGCGGCCGCGGCCGCTTCGGCTAATGTGGTGAAAGCTGAGGTCGAGGACGAGTATGATGAAGAGGATGGTCGGTCGGCTATGCTTGCTAGACAGAAGAATAAGAGGAAGGGTGGAGCTGGAGCGGGTCGGGGTGTGCATCCTGCTGCCGCGGTGGCGGCGGCGGCAGCTGCAGCTGCTGAGGCTGGAGACAAAGGTGGTGAGGAGGGCGAGGGTGAGGTTGCGCCGCCTCCTGTGCGCTCAAAGGGCAGGAAGAAGGCGACAAGTTATCTTGATGAGCTTTTGGCTGAGCGTGCGAAGAAGAGAAAGAAGAGATGAGGACTTGCGGTCGATATGTTCGATTCTATGTTCCCACGCACACTAGCGTTGCACGAGCTTTCACTGGCTCTGCGTTCTCTTGGATGTATTATGCTTTATCTTGGTCGCTCTGGATGCGCCGGACACGGCGATCGGGCCATTGATTCAGGTGCTTGGGGGGTTTAACCCATGCCGCCACAGTGGGATTGCCTGCCGGGATCCTCACTCTGCTAGTGGCAGAGACTACAGCGCAGTATCCCTTGGCTAGACACAGCCAGGCAAAACTGCATATATACTCAAATGGCAACTCGGCTGAGTGCCATACAGTGCCATGTGCCACTCCAACAAGATACCCAGTTCAAACAGTCTGCAGAGAAAAAACATCATTCCAATTGATATAATCAAACTGCAAATATAAAATACAATTCAATTCCAATATCTTGCTCTAGGTGCCACAAGATTCAATGTTTTTTTTTGCTCCGCCCAACCCAAGGGTATATATGATATGCTGTGTTCGAACGAAGTATGGGACTCGGAGAGCCGTGGGCCAGGCGCCGGGGTTGGTGTGCCTTCGCCAGAATTAAATATCCAAAAATAGAAAAGACGAAAGGTGAAGGAGAAGAAATGAAGGAAAGGGACATCTACAGGCGCAATTAAAAAATTGAGATCAGAGCTGCGGACATTCTTCAGATGTCTGGAGATGAGTGCACTTTGCTCTGGCCAATGGTACATATGCAGGTCAAAGGAGCAGGGGGAGAAGAAGGGAGTGACATGGCTTGTCGATGGTATAGGGACCTGGAGAGAGAAGGAGAATGTAGTGCCACCATTAGTGGAAGGTCGATGTTGGGAATCTTCCAATATTCAGGGGGTTATTCCAACCGCTTCCGCTTACGGTCCTCTGTCATCGCCTGCTGGTCCTCGTCGGGTCTTTCAGCAGTATCGGCAGGATTGAGCAATGAATGCACATTGCTTGCCATACTCGAGCGACGGGTTGCGGGCAACGAAGAGCCGTGAGGGAATTTTGAGCCGCCAAGTGTCCAGCCGTTGTCGACACCGAGCATGGACGGTGAAGGTTCGGCAGTGGGCGGAGTGGCATGACGGGATTGTTCTTGAAGTCGGCGGGGAGCACCCATTTCGTATTGAGCGAGGACATCACGAACTTGCTGGTCACTAGAGACCGGAGTTCGGTGCCCTGGCGATGAAGGCCAAGGGCCGTTTGGGGGGTTACCAGGGGGATAGGGGGAGCCAGCCGATGGGGACCAGCCGTGCTGTCGAATGTCTGCAGACGTGTGACGGCGGGCCAAGTTAGGCCCTGGGGATGTTGATACGGAGAGAGGATGAGGCATCGGTTGCTGTGGGGGCGGCGCAACGGGAGGCTGTGGGCGCGCGTATGCTGAGCCGGAATTGGCGCCGCCAATTGAGCCATAGCGGCGAGGGGATACTGAGAGATGGGGAGGGACTGGCGGCCGGATCATGTTGGTGGGTCTAGGTGTATGGTCCATCATAGACTGTCGACGACCATCGTCCTGGGGCATTTGACGTGGGGACAAAGGTGGACCGGCTTCGGTCATGTTGGCGAAGTACTGTTGCCGTGGAGGCATGAGAGTTTCGTGGGGGGTTTCGATAGCGCGCATGATTTCGATATGTTTCTCAACTTCTCTTTGCATGCTCGAGACTGGGGAGGGTCAGTGCGTGTCACCATGAGGGAAGCGGCAGTATTGACATACCATCGCGATGTAGAGGGCTTTCCCTATCGGGTACAATAGCTTGAAGAAATCGTGAAATAGAATGCGTCCACTAAGATCAAGTTAGCACCAATACACCCCGTCCTAGCACAGACGGCGGACATACTTGGTAGCACTTTGTCAGGCTGTCGGTCATAGCATGACATCTCGAGTTCAGCGTCATATTGCCCTCCTCTGCCCGAGCCATACGAGCATGCAGTTCGTAATAATTTTGCTCCAGGTGTAAGATTCTAGCCTCGGTCGCATCAGCTGCAGGTTCAGCGGGTGTTCCAGGCTGCGAAGCAGGAGCCTTGTGGCTAGGGAATGAATCGCGGTGGATCAAAGCGTGCCTCGAAGCACGGCGCTTGATCTCTCGCAGACCAGCTAGATCGCCTCTTTTGAAGTTCCCATTCCCATGTTTAAATTCCCAGAGCGCAGAGTCTGGGGACCCGGTGTGAAAGACGTCGCTCACTAACAGAGTCAAGAATGGTCAGAAATTGCCCAACCAAAGCTAGCATGCGAAGCACCCACCTTTGTGAAACCCATACATATTCAGCTGCCGAACGAACGAGGAGATATTGGTATGCTTGAAGTACGATCTGCAAGGGTCAGGGACAAGTTCATTCGCAGAGAGGATAGCACCCACGCTAGGACCTTGGAGAATTCCGACGTTGGCGACATGACGAAGCTATCGTTTGTACCGGACCAAGAGATGAGATGTTGAATGCTGGGGTCTTCTAGCATGCTGTTTCCAAAAATTGTCAGCCGATGGAGACAAAACACGAAGACCAGAAAAAAACATACTTGTAGAGCTTGTGAATGAAAGCAGTCTGAACGACTTTTGGCTGCTGGGCTGCGGCCGCAGCACCGATAGCTGGATTTGGAGCATTCAAAGAATTATTTCCAGCTTCAGTGCCATTGGTGATTCCGGTCATTCGGTCGTCAGTGCCATGCGCGCCCGTGGGCGGAGGGGTGATATCCATCGAATGCTGACCAGACGACGAAAGTACAGGAATGTTTCGTGTCCTGCCCGGGGTGTCTGGTACCCCGGCAAATGAAATCCTAGTAGAAGGAGGGTCGGCAAGACGACTCATATCGGAGGGGGGTGTGGGTATATATAGCACAAAATCGATGGTGGATGCGACGGGATCGTGAGGGGTGGAATTCGGACGCGATGGACCGTTTATGCTCGTGCCGAAAGAACGTGGGAGATCAACCAATAATCAACACTTCTGTCATCGCGCAGAAATTGGGTTTATTTTCAAGGGGAAAACGGTTGACAGGGGAAAAAAAATAGAAGGGAAGAAAAGAAGAAAGTCTCGAAGTGTCTGGAAGGTTGAGAAAAAGGGCTCTGCGGGGAAGGGGGCCGGGAAATGCGTTGACAGACAGATCTGCAGAATATGAAGTTATAAATTATACAGATTATACAGATTATACAGGGATGAAAGAGAAAAAAAGAAGATATATTATTGGGATATTATCTGGAAAAAGGGGTGACAAGTAGGGCTATTACTTTAATTGTCTACGGAGTACGGAGTACTCCATATCTCTTATAGCCCTATTGGCTTGGATTCTGCCAATTTAACTATCAACAATATAACATTATAGGACTACAACACTATAACACTATGTTGGATATATATCAAAATATAAAAGAGGCTTGAAGCATTCAACTCTTAGATTCGGCATTTTCTAAAGGGTCCATGTCTGACTATAGTTAGACTGGCTAGGCATAGTTCTACCTCCATACTCCATACTCCGTACACTACGGAGTACTTGGTACTATTATTATATCTTAAATTACCCCCTATGTTGACATTATTAACCTAAAAATCACTAGCTTTAAGTCGGACAAAAGACAGTCATCCGAAATTTGTATTAACTAGATACTCTTTTCTTTGACACAATTTGTCTTTTTTTTTTTCTTTCTTTGACTTCACATACATATACATATGGTCTTAGTCTAATCCTTGTCGGGGTATCTACATATTCATTCATACAGTATTACTTGACAAAGAGCATGTATTGACTGGAATCGTGCGCTAGTCTCCGGGTGGGTTTGACAGGGGTTACATGGCTGACTAGTTGATATATAACATCATTTCTTCAACGGATTCCCACTTTTCACCTGTCAAATCGCCATGTTGCAATCATCATATTAGGATACCAGAGGGAATCCATGTCTCATCAAAGCACCAGACCCAGATTGCCTTATCCACAGGGAATATAACAAAGTCCCCATCCCCCAAAACCGAGGTGCATGACCGTTCATCTGGAAAAACTACTGTGTGTAAGGATTTGAATTGACACGCTTTAGCGTCGTGGGCATGCGAGGGCTCTGAGAATTCACAGCCAATGTGCAATGTTGTTTTTGTTGAGAGGTGGTAGTCCTCAAAACAATAGATCAAACCAAGGCCCCGGGCTGAATAGTCTAGATCGGCGTGAGGATTCCTCAAGTTCAGCCCTACCGGATGAAGATGTACAGTAATCCGATCATCTGCCTCGAGTGAAAGAGACAGTGAACCATATTCTCGTAGAGGAAGATCATTCGTAAGATAAGAATTCCTATTCGCTCCAGTCGTGCATAATTCCAGCAAAGTAGAGCTCTGGCCGGGGCGCATGCATCCTCTGTATGGTGGTGCGGTGACTTTTGGCTCGCATTGAACCCCCCATAATTTGTAATGTCTGAAAGGAAGCTCTCGATATTGCTCCCACGTGCAGATGAACCGATTATCATGGACAGAGAACTTCTGGATCTGCAAATGATGCTCTTCCCAAAGTAAGCTATCATCTTCCCGTAATTGAATGTTGATGCCATCTTTTCTGCGGACGCAAACGACGGAGAGTCCATCCTCCTCTGCAGATACTGACAGCAAAAGAATGGACGGTCCGATCTTGATGGAACGGGCGATTCCGGAATCAAAGCAGAAATGGACTATGGAATCCCCATAGCTCAGCATGACTTTGGATCCGATGGATATGTAATGAACAAATTGCAACGAAGGAATTCGAAAGAACTTGTGCTCTTCGTTAGACCTGTTCCAGACATGGCAATACCTATTGTGTCCAGTCAGAAGTACATTCAACAAAGTGGTAATCATTTTCTGACTACATACCCCCGAACAGAAGTTGCTGAGACCAAAGTGTCTGAGACCTGGACATGACTAAATTCCTCTCGATTCGCTGTTGTGAGGGCTCTGTTTTTGCCGCTTGGTAGGTCCACTGTGAAGATAGTAGTTCGATCTGTGAACTCGTCAATCCACGCGCATACTCCATTGCAATAGCTTATGCTGTCTCTGTTCAGTGCGTCGTCTATATCGCGAGACAAGTAACAAGGGATTGTAGCCATGACAGCAGGCATTCCCCTTTCCGCTCGAAGTCGTTTTTTAATCAACGCATCAAAGGCAGCTGGGGTAGAACCGGGCTTGATGACGCTTTTTCCCATGTGATATTTGATTGCAGCGGTGATGACGATGGTTGAAGATAACAATGCACGCCATCGTTTGGAGACCTTTTTGATATAGATATGTCAATAAACGTCACAAGTATCTAAAAAAGATGATAACTCACTCTTCGGAGGAGAACAAGGTCAGCTAGGTCTAAGTTCCTTACTAACATATTCACCAGTTCAAGAGGCAGTTTATCTAGAAAATCACATTGGAATTTCATCGTCTCGAGTCGGCTTTTCACTTCTCGTATCTCATGAGAAGTTAGACTATCAAGGATCTCATTGAGCCTGTTTTGTATTAGCGGTCAGAGCCGACTCTAAACTTTGGACATGGGACATACGCTGCTCGTCGGCTTGAGCTATCGCGGAGAGCCATAAAGCCCGCGAGAATGGGTTGGGTGGTTGAGTCCATATTGGATTGAGATAAATGGAAAATTCAGATAAATGAAGAGACTTTCAGGGAGACATTGTTGAATAATGGGATTTTGAGGGGGTCCTTCCAGGATTCCACCTGGGCAATGGGGTGAGGTTTAAGTAAGGTGGTAGCCCTGGAGCTGACCCGTGGACTTCAGTAAGCGAAATTTTGAGGCTCAAATTTATACGAAAAGCCTTGCAATCTCCAAAATATATCCTTTCTTGTTTGTTGTATTCGTCATGGAAATACTATAGAATTTTATTAAACCCCAAGTTTTGTCAAGCCTTTGAAGAAGCTCAAAGGTCGCGAAGAGACCTACATATTCCATGATCCTAGGACGCGACGAATGGTCGACCAAACCAATAGACCTATACGCAAGGCATAACGACCAATGGCAGCTTCCACCGGCTTTGCATTAGTAAGTCACTTACTAGACATCCAGGAAAGCTTGAAGAATATATAGCCGAATCCAAGTCATTTCCACGAAGAGCAAGCAGCCATCTACTCTACATATATGAACTTTACAAGGAATACTCCACACTAAACAATGAGAGATCAATATATCATCTCTCACACATCCCGATTAGGAACTGATCTAGGTCATAGAAACACTCAAGAATACAGTGACAAAAAGAAAATAAATGACACAGGAACAGGCGCAAAAGCATTACAAAGATCTCTCTAAGATGTCACTGCGGCGGTTCGGTTCGGTTCGCTAGCCCCAGGAAAAAGGCAAATGAAAATGCTCCCTACCCTCTCTATCATTATAACCAAAAGAGTAAACACCCTTTAGATGCCGAGGGTGAACTCAACACCGACGTCGATCTCGCGGGCCATCTTGACGACCTTGGAGAACTGGACGGACTTCTCGGCGGCGTTCTGGAGGTCCTCGATGGAGAAGATCTTAAGGCCGGACTCGTTGATCTGGAAAGTAGGGGATTTGGTTAGTTTACATCATAACGGAGAACGGAAAGATGGGGACTGCAATCATACCAGCTTGTGGGCCTGCTCCATGTTGGTACCCTGCAGACGGGCGATGATAGGAGTGCGCAGGTTCATCTCCTGGACGACGTTGATCAAACCCTGGGCAATAGCGTCGCAGCGGACGATACCACCGAAGATGTTAACAAAGACGGCGGACACCTTGGGGTCGCTGGTGATCAGCTCGAAGGCGCTCTTGATGGCAGCGGGGGTGGCACCACCGCCGACATCGAGGAAGTTAGCGGGGGTACCGCCGTTGAGCTTGATGATATCCATGGTGGCCATGGCGAGACCGGCACCGTTGACTAAAAGCGAGAATTAGCATTGCGATAGTTAGAAGCATTAACAGGATCCTTACCAAGGCAGCCGATGTCACCATCGAGCTTGATGAAGTTAAGACCGTGCCTAGAAAAAGATAAAAGTCAGTCAATGTTGCTTTGGCTCGTTTTTTTCCAGCATGGCAACCTACTCAGCGGCCTTGACCTCATCGGCATCCTCCTGGGAAACATCGCGCCACGAGAAGGCCTCCTTCTGACGGAACTCGGCGTTGTCGTCGAATCCAAGCTTGGCGTCCATGGCCATGACCTGGTGATCGGAGGTCTCGGACAGGGGGTTGATCTCGAGCTGGGTAGCATCGCGCTCCATGAAGCACTTGTAGAGGTTCTGGATGGTGGACTTAGCCTCCTCAATGCACTGCTCGGAGAAACCAAGGTCGGTGGCAATGGTGCGGGCGATCTCGTCAGTCACACCGACGTGGATATCGATGGGGGTGGTGGTGATGGCATCGGGGCTCTCCTTGGCGACGGCCTCGATATCCATACCACCCTGGGAGGATGAGACAATGACGGGGCCACGGGTGGTACGGTCAAGGAGGACAGCGAGGTAGAATTCACGGCGGGCGAACTTGCGCTCGCAAATGTAGACCGAGTTACAGATACGGCCGGCAGCGCCGGTCTGCTTGGTAACGAGCTTGTGACCGATCATCTGGCCAGCGAACATCTTGGCCTCGGTGGGACTGCAGAGAGATCTATTAGCTTCATTGGGGCAGATGTGTTCTCGGATTTGTCCAACTCACGAGTAGATCACACGGACACCACCCTTGAGACCATTGTCGAATTGACCCTTACCACGGCCACCGGCGAGAACCTGGGCCTTGATAACGAGATCGCCACCACCTGGAATATAATGTTCAGCGAGCACGTTTCAAAGGGGAAATTCAATAGGTTGTTCTTACCGATGGACTTGGCAATAGCCTCGGCCTCTTCGGCATTGTTGGCGACCTCACCCTTGGGGACACCGACACCGTACTAGATTGTTGATCAGTGATCCCGATTTCCTGTTTTTTTTCGGGCGACCGAAGGGTGCAACGCGGGTACACCTACCGACTTAAGGAGTCTAGCGGAAAGGTACTCGTGGATGGAAAGGTTGCGCTTCTGCAAAGCGAGTCTGCTCTGGATGGAGGGTTGCTATTGTTCACAGCCAAAGTCAGCTCAATCACATAAATCGAGCGCGACCCGATCGAATTCAGATACAACTCACTGTCGCAGCCTTGAAGGCCGCCGCAACGGGTCTACCGCGAGCAAGCTTGAACATGATGAATTAGGATAAGAGAGGAGAGGGGGGATTTGTAGAAGGGCGGAGATATAAAGCCCGTTTAGATAGTTGGTAAGGGACCGGGAGAACAGCTTTCTTTTTCACTTGCTTCGGGGTGACCTTGCATTGCGGTAAAATCGGGTGCCGTAGCCAACCAGCGATCGTTACTAGCATGACTCAGCATGGATTCGGGGACAACGCGAATATAACGGAACATGGCTATTAAAGTCGGTACTTCTCTTTGATACATTTTGGTTTCTTTATAGATTATATATATATATATATCTCTCCTTTTAAATATTTGGTTTTGCCCAAGTCTTGTTCCATATTACTGTATTATAGTGACTAAACTTACTCAAACACACCAAGATTCCCCTCCCCCCCCTTATTTGCCCGAGGCATTTTTGATCTTCCATAGTTTGAACATTTTAGTCATGAGCCGACCAAACAGCCCCGACCAAGCCCAGCCACCCGACAACATCCAGATTAACCAGCTAGCACGACCTTCCCAGATCCAGGCCTTGCGACCACGAGCCCACGGCCACAACCAGCGCCATGGAGCTGAGCCATACAACACTTGAGAAACGACACTACGAGCATAGGCATCATTCGGCATAGCGTTGTGCTGGCTGTGCTTCACACGGGTAAGATACTCAGCCTCGATAGGGGAATACAAAGAACCCGGCTGCAGAGAACGGTCGGTACGCGCAATGCGCGATTGAACACCGCCGGTAACGATGGTTGTGACGTGGACACTATTGATAGTGGTTAGAAAACACAACATAGCAGTTTTGGATTTGCGGGGGGCCATATCTAACGAACCCGAATGGTGCTAGCTCCACGCGAAGCGTGTCACTGAACGAGTGCAGTGCTGCTTTAGAGGCATTGTAGACAGAGCCAAATACATAAGGGATGATCTAGTCATTATCAGTATGATAGGATCTGCGAAGATGGATATCTCTCAAACTTACCCCAGCGACGGATCCAATCTGCACAATAGTACCCTTTGCCTTGATAAGCAAAGGCAGGAAAGTCTGGCACATAGTAATGACCGCGAAAAGGTTGGTCTCGAACGTTTGGCGAGCCTCGGCGAGCTCTACTTCCATCGCAGGAACGGTGTAATCTGTAGTAATTAGTACCTACTTCAAATGATTTATGCCGGAAGCTGCGAAAAGTTACATACTCCGACCACTGTTGAATATTAGCCAGATGTACCGTCCACGGATAAAATGTCAAAAGCTACTCACGCGTTATTAACAAGATAATCAAGACCTTTGTCTCCGAGCCTCTTTTCGACATCCGCAAAACACGATTTGACGCTCTCCGGGTCATCAACTGTAAGGCTCAAGGTTTCAATACCGAGGTCTGCCAGATCAGAGATGGTCGCCGCATCGCGAGCAGTGGCCAGCACGCGCAGTCCATGTCGGTTGAACTCGCGCGCAAGGGAGTTGCCGATTCCACCTGGGGAACATCTACGGTAAATATCAGAAGCTGTTGTTGATATTTGTCCAAAGTCGCGTGCAACTTACCCCGTGATGAGCACCGATCTGCGAATTTCTGTCGCTTCCGACATGTTTGAGGTGGATTATGATGGACTGAGACAAATTTATAGATCTTGAAGATAGTTACGATGTAAATAAAACAGTTGGCTACGGCATGTACATCTTAGGCAAGTGGAGGTCAAACAGATGCCTCGGCTCCCCCTGTTTCACAGGCATAACACTGAGCCCTAAACCCTACTGCCTGTTTTGTCTTTATAGTATAAAAAGTGGCTTGAAGATATGATCTGGGTTGCACGTTAACGAATTGGAAAATAGCTCGGAATAAACTACTCCACCTGCAAAAAAGCTTATGACTTTCAATAATTTCGAACATATCCCCGAGGATTCATGTACCTGGTGGTCTACACTGTTCATCCCTCAAAGCAACCCAATGGAGTTAATCGAAGACAAGGACGTTATTCAAACGTGATTAGCCCTCATAGATGGACAGTTTAAACTAAACCATCCAGTGGCGCCGGATGCGTGCCGATTCCCAAGGGTGGACTCAACAAGTAACACAGTCCCATCTGTGCCGGAGAACTATTTAGTATGTGATATTCGAGAGCCAAAAATAGGGTTTAACGACATGGATTCCATTGATGCACCAAAACCCTCAGCCATTTACAAAGTTGTATGTGATGGAAGATCAATACGGAGTAGTCTGTTCGCCATTGCCACTGGTAGATTCGTGCCATCGGTCCCCACATTAATCCACCTCGATCCTCGACCCAACAACCCGACTAGTATTATTATTCTCTACAGATATTCTCGGCCGCTATTGTTCAACTAAAGAACTTAAGCAAACAGAAAATCATACATTATTTTCCCCTATGCTAGCATCTAAGCTTTTTGTGGTATTACGTCTACCATCGCATGCCATCATCCGCAAGCAAGCAGCACAATAGAAATCCCAAACGGGAGGGGAAAGGTTCAAGATATCTACACTTCCATCCAGCTGTGTGTGCGCTCATTGAGTCAAATCGCAGTAGCCGGTAATGACTACTGAGCCCGATCTACCCAGGCATATGCGAAGTCCCGGCGAAGACGGGTACCGAACGCCAACGATAGAAGATGCCGAGCGGGCTCTCTCAATCCTTGGAGCCGTTGAAGAAACCCCCGGTGGCGGAGCTCGTGAGGCTCATTCGTCTGCTTTAGAGGCTGCACTGCAGCGAGCCTCGTCACGGGCTACTGTGAAAACAAATCCGGATAAGGAAGCCGGTGCGTGCCGAGAGTACAACGGGCTGGGCCTGTTTGGGCTCAAGCACACAGTTTCTGGCGAGTTGAGCTGGAAGAAGCGCATTCGCCATATTACGTGGGCTTATTTCACTTTGACTATGGCTACGGGTGGGCTGGCTAATGTCTTGTATCAAGGTGTGCATGGTCGATCTCATTTCTATTCGGTTGAACATGGCTAACAAGGGCCAGTTCCATTTCGGTTCAAGGGCTTGGATACGATTGGGGTCGTTGTATTCCTGGTCAATATCGCTTTGTATCTCATCATCTGGGCTCTTCTGCTTATTCGGTTCTATCATTATCCGTATACATTCAAGGCGTCGTTCAAACACCCAACAGAGTCGCTCTTCGTGCCTGCATCGATAGTATCCTTCGGCACAATTTTAATCAACGTATCGCAATACGGACCCGAAAACACGGGTCCGTGGTTGATGCGCGCAGTCTGTATTCTATTTTGGATTGATGCCACTCTAGCTGTGATGTTCTCGGCCGGCGTCTACCTCCTCCTTTGGTCGACGCAGACATTCACCATCGCGCAGATGACTCCTATCTGGATTTTTCCTGCTTACCCGATGCTCATCATTGGTCCGCATGCAGGGATCCTCAGTGCAAAGCTGGAGCCGTCTCAGTCTCTGCCGGTTATTATTGGCGGCATGACTATCCAGGGGGTTGGCTTTTTGGTTTCGTTGATGGTTTACTCGGCCTTCATCTACCGGCTGATGACGCAGAAGCTGCCGAAGGAAAATATCCGCCCTGGTATGTTTGTTTCTGTGGGACCGAGCGGATTTACGGTAGCCGGGCTAGTGAATATGGCGGCTGGGGCGAAGAGGTCATTTCCGGCCGATTTTATGGGAGATGGGGCGCTGGCTGCCAATGTGTTGAAGATTGTTGCTAATTTTTCGTGTCTTTGGCTTTGGGGGTATGTTTGGTACCTTTATTTCTGTCTACTCGGCTAACTCTTCTCTAGGTTGGCTATATTTTTCTTCATTATTGCAAGCGCAGCCCATTGGTCGGCGATTGGACATGGGCGCATGGTCTTCTCGATGACCTGGTTCTCATTTGTCTTCCCTAATACTGCCTTGATCACTGCTACTTTTGCCATTGGCAAGGCATTCTCCTGCAAGCCTATTGAGATTGTTGGGTGTGCGGCGATACTACCGTTGCTATTGATGTACTTCTTTGTGTGTTACATGATGGTTCGGGCCATTTTGACACGACAGATCCTGTGGCCCCAGAAAGGCGAGGATAGAGATGAGGGTGGGTTCGAGATTATTCGGGTTAGACCAGTGGCCGCGGCAGAGGTATTGGGGCATACTTAGATACGGAGTACACAATATATATATCCTCGAAGCTTATATATATCGATGTATGTTTTACATAAAATCCTAACGCTAATGAAGCAAACACTAATAATTGATGTAACAGATTTAATTCCAACACATCCGGCAACAAAATAAAAATAAAGAACCTAATGATACACAGCACAGAAAATAAAAAAAAGGTCGAATGTATTGATTGATTGGGACATGAAAACAAAAACAAAAAAAGAATGGACCCGCCGGGAATTGAACCCGGGACCCCCCGCAAGTCACTGTTGTAGTGCGAAGCGGGTATTATACCCCTAAACCACAGGCCCATTTGATGGAAGATTGGCCTTTTGTTTATCATATGATGGAATCAAAAATAAGCTGAATACACACCATTGGATAACGAGATAAATATCAAAAGAGATATCGGAAATACCTCCAAGTGAGTGAATATACCCTATTGTAATTTACTTCAATCCATACAAATATTGGAAAGATTGCTACTTTACAAGGAGTTGATGTATGTTGAACGAATTCGTTTCAGCTCTTACCGCAACACCTTCCAAGCCTTATCTATGTCCACTACGGTATGCAGGAATCCAGACCCTCGTTCCTTCCGAACCTGCGTCTCTTCATATAATCCTGTGAACCTTGTGAGCCTCGGAACCATGGAACGGTGGCTTAATGAGGCAATTAAAATCATCATTCTGGAAGGCGCGTCGTCCCCACCAGCGAGTATAAACCCCCCCCTGGCACCCCAACGTTCATTCGTCTAATGGATATAATGGGTCCGTTCACAGACGAAGGTGAGCTCCACGACTATCTCTTAAGCCCTGCTTCTGGACATGGCTTCGACTCAACTGAAGAGTATATCCAAGCTTTGACGCAAGCAAACAAGATTCGCAAATATTCCCACCGGGTTACTTTCACCCATGGCGATTTCAAGGCTCATAATATCCTTGTTGGAGATGATGGCCATCTATCGGCCTTTCTTGATTGGGAGTCCGGTAGTTGGTATCCTGAATACTGGGATTTTACGACTGCAATGAGATTTGGAAAGAGCAGTTGGTGGTTCCAGGTGGCTTTGTGGATTGGGGGAGACCAATACGAGGAGGAGTTAGCTTGTGATATTGCGCTCAACTCATTGACGGTTGACTCATATATAGCTTTCTAAGGAGCAATGAAGCTATGTCATGGTTCACCTTCTTTACTCCAAATAGCCATTTTCGTTAATATCAGGCGAGTCCAGGTCATTGTGTGCATCAAGTATGTAAAACCGAGATCATCAATGCCGAGGCTACAAGCTACTCCAACACTGGCCATGTAGTTCTACAAAACCATTAGTGGCAACGGATTTCTCCACGGCACTGGAGGTACTACGTAAGATTCCAAAGCTGCGGCCAATCTTCCCTTCGAAGTCATTAATAAGGTCGATTTCTTGCACGTCAAACTTGGTTTGCAGCTATTCCAATTCATGGATTAAGCTGAGCTAACGAATCTGTTGTGGTCAGAATTCTACGCGATGATCTCGGAGACTGACATGATACGGGTAAAGTGTTATTGTGATGCGTCTGCAGTCATGTTGATTCTTTTGATGGAATTTCGTACTTGGCATAAATAGGATCTCAGATTCAACAACCTTACTGATTTCGACGTCAAATTTAGAGGTAACCAGTCATGTCAATGCAGCCTAGTATTATTTTTTGAGTCCATGACCGAAAGAAGAGAAAAGAGGAGAGAGTTGTGTACCTTAGAATCGTACAAAGTCTACACAACCACAGAAGTTTAGAGAAATCGAACAATAAATTTTACAAAAGGCAGTTAGGGTATCGAACTAATATGTAAAAAAAAGAAGAAAAAAAAAAAAAAACAGAAAAAAACAAAGATCATGCCTGCCGCCCTATGCATCCTCCATCACGGCATCCTTGGTCACGATCACGGGAGAACTGCCGGCAGAAGCAGTCGAGCTTCCGCCGGAGTTACTCCCACGCTTATTCTCCTTCTTGGGGGACTTTGAGCTTCGACCACGGCGGTGGTGGTCAACCGCACCGCCGGACAACTTGCGGCCACGACCGGGCTCCCGCGCCGGCATGTTGAGAATTATCCGGGGGCCGCCCCTGACTCCCCCCACGGTAGTTGGAATCTGTGGAATTGGGGGGAGGTTCAGGGGGCTGACACCCCGGTGCGGAGTTCCCGCGCGCGTCAGACTGGTGCTCTTCCGACGGGAGGCACCCACTGACGGGGAGGCCTCGCGCGAGGCAGCAGGGAGGGTCGTGGCGGCAATGGTGGTCTTTGGGGTCTTCAGGCCCTTGCGGGCCTGGCGTCGTGGGGTGGCAGGGCGAGGGGTGGTGGGGACAGGGGTCGACTCCTTGGGCTTGCGCGAGCGCAGCTGGCGCCCCTTTTCGACGGGGATGAGGAGATCGAGTCCTCCATCCTGGGCGCTCAGCTCTCGCCGCTGGCGGTTCAGCTCCGCCGGCCGGCAGCTTAGGGTCTGGCGGCCATCGGGGATGATGAGCTTTGAGAGCTCCCCCGTGGCCACCGCCCAGCTCACTTCTGGCAAAGGGCCGACGACGATGTTGGGATCGAAGTCCCCGGTGGACTTCCGGTCTCTCCCGGGGGCGACAACCTTTGCTGCGAAGGACTTGGTGGCTGTCAGGTAGGTGGCGGCACTCTTCTTGCGCCCTTTGCTGGGCGTTGGAGCCATGATGGCATCCAATTCTCTCAGATTATTCTGAGACCACCACTCACTTTTGAACTCTGAGTTCTCACTCAGACCTGCCAGGTGACTGAGCACACCGGAGGACAACGCGCGGTCACTGTAGCCGCCTTCGAGGACGCTGATAACACGCCCTTCCACACCGAGGCCTTCCTCTTGCGACATGCGGATGACATCCGCGGTGAACTTGGCGTAGAACTCAGTCGGCACCTTCACGCTGTGCCGTTGCATGCCGTTGCCTTCCCACTCGCTGGCATCAAACCCGGCAGAGATAAAGATTGCTCCCTTGGGCAGTGGAGCATTTGGGTTCTCTTGTCGTTCTTGGTTGAGTTCGGCTGTGCGTTCGCGAAGAAATGACCGGGCTTTGGTGAGCAATGCGTTGTATTTTGTCTCGTATAATTTCCAGAACCCATCGAGATCGGCCCAGTTTTCGAGGTGAACGTTCCAGATGGACTGGTTGTGTGCTTCGACACAGAGGCTAGCACCCATGACTTTGTCGCGCTCTCCATTCTCGCAAGGGAAAGAGTTCACATCATGCAAGCTGTAGTAGCCAATGGCTGCTTTGGTGTATGGAGGAGCGTCTTGATATTCCTTGAATTTCGTGGCATCAGACCTGGCCAAGTCAGCCTTTTGTGTTTTGTTGAGTAATCTGGAATTGTGATCGTATGCGATGTCCTGAGACCCATCGCCATGGTGAAGATCGAAGTCAAGGATTGCAGCGTGGGTGAGACCGTGGGTGGTTGCTGCGTGGGAAATTCCGACATGAACATTGTTGATCCAGCAAAAGCCAGAAGGGAAGTTAGCTGAACAATGGTGCCCGGGAGGTCGAATGCAGACGAATGCGCGCTGGATTGGACCGGACTTGAAAACAAGGTCCACTCCCTCGCAGACGCCCCCTAGTGCTCCTTGGAAGGCATTCACAGACTCTGAGCATAAGTAGAGGTCGCCGGTATTTAGGGCGGGACCACTTGTCCCGAGGCCGTCGTCTTCTCCTGTCCGTTTTCTGGCAAGTTCGTTTCCATCCATGATGAGTCGTGACTCTGCAAGGTCCCCCATCCATTTCAATTCTGACATCCATTGGGTTCCATGAACGTCCGTAACAGCAGTATTAGATAAATGAACCTTGCGATCAGTCTTGATAATTTGAAAAGGAACATCAATCTTGTTCCAGCTCGAACTTGGTTTAAGTGCGAGATCTTCCGCATATCGAGATCCAAGGAGAACATAGGCTGCAGAGATGCCCACAGCGCAGGCGCGGATGCGCTCTGGTCTTTCGACAATTCTCTCGATGGTTCGTTTTGGCGCTTCAAGCTGGGAGTAACGATGGCCATAGCAGTCATCATGAATAATAACAGCAGTTTTAGTCTTGATATCATCAGATCGGTGTAATTCAAGCTCTTTTGAGAAGTGCTCAGCAGCGACAGACGAAGGAGTCGGAATAGGGGCTTCTGGAGCCGGGCTAAACACAAGGCGTGCGGGGTGCATTGCGGGGGATGTTGCGGTGGTTGGAGACCCCGCAGAGGCAAATGATGTGCGGCGTGAAGGGTTAGGAGTTGGGGATGAAGATTTGAGCGGTTGTGAGACCGAACGAAGAGATGCAGCGGACTTGCGCTTTTGTAGTTGTGCAATTGACTTACGCCGTTCGTCTCGGACAGTGTCAGAACCGGCTGTTTGTGAGACAGATTGCATAGGTTGATTGGATTGTAAAGAGACAGCTCGAACAGGTTGGTCAGGCTGCAGAGGAATAGCAGGTACAGGTCGAGTGACTTGAACAGATTTAGGGGGAAGATAGGATGGAACAGGGGAAAGACGAGGTGATGAAGGCAATGGCGTCTCTTTCGCTAGAGTCAGGCGATTCAGAGAATTGATCAATTCATTATGCGCCTCATCAATGTTGTTCTTGAGGCCATTGTCCCCCGATGGGGGGTCCTCCTGAGTGGAGGGGAGCTTGTATTCCATCTTGCAGATATCGACTCTGCTACAAAGGGTACACGATATTTCTTCTCATTCACTATAAAATGAAATGCGAGAGATGATAGGTTGAGGTTGAATAGGGAAGGGGAAACAAAAGAAACAAAGAGACAAAGAAAGGGTGGAGATTCACATGTTTGGATTAAGCCTAGTGGGGTAAGGGTTCGGTCGATCACCAGACCATAGAACAACGACATACGAGGTACATTCTTATACATTCTTATATTTCTTCTATATTTTTTATTGTTTACATGAATAGGGCTTTATTGTTTTTTTGGTCTTCTTTGACTTGATTCTTATTGTTATAGCCGGAGGTATTATTCTCTTTATTGATAGCTTTTGTAACAATCCACAATCATGCTTCATGCTCTCTAATAGATATCATATCTCTAATATAAGATAGACAAAAAAGGAAAAAAAAGAAAAGAAAAATTCAATGAAGAAGAATCGAATCTCATGCAGATCATCTAGATCATTGCATCCACGTGATGGAAAACCGCAAACCTGCAGAATTTCCTTTTTCCCAAGATCCCAAACCGAGATCTCAAATCCCCTAACACCAAAGCTGTAAAATGATAGATAGAGAGCAGGAAAAAAAAAACGAAGTCAAATGTAAATGTCGTCAATTAACGTGACCGCAGACCCCGCCATTGATACCACTGATACCAACGGCGCCCGAAAGAATCCTTCTCACTAAAGGAATCTTCAGATCGGCGGCGCACCTTATTCTCCTTCTTGCGGGTTTCCTTCTCGGACTTGAAGCCACGCGTGGCATGCGAGTTGCAGAAGCAGTGCATGTGAACGGTCTCGACGCTGATACCCGGGCAACCGTTTCGGCGGTGGGCGGCGCAGACATTGTTGCCGGCATCTTCTTCGCATTGGCACCATTCGTAGAGTGTGAAATATTGACGGCACATGATTGCTTTTGTGGGATGCTTTTCTTCAAAGTTGCAGTTGCAGTTGACTGTTAATTATTGCGGGATGTCCCGCAGGTACCTGCAGTGTGTTTTGATAGTTGATAGGGATGGTTGATGGGCGATGGGTGGTATTGTGGACTTTGTAGTAGTTTCAGAATTTGTCGAACGGAGTGACTATGAGTTGGATTTTGATGATGTATTGGCAAGAAAATGAGGACGTCAAATGCCCAGTGGTATGTAGATGGTGTCCGGCGTAGCTATCAAGCCTGATCGGAAAGCCCGGTAAAGTATGTTTTGTAGCCGGTGATATCGAGATGCTCAGAGACTTGCAGGCTTGTTCAGACCAGCTGAAATGAGGGTTGATGATATTGATGAAGAGAGTTGAAGATTGTTGGGGATCAGCAGAAGACAATTAGCTCTTTAAGTTCCTCTGCCTAATGTAATGATGAGTAAATAGTCATTGACCGTGTCTATGAATGGAACCACGGCTATTGATTGGAGCTGACGTCAAAGAGACTCTTTCCTTTGATTATTATGGGCTACAATTATTATTATATTATTATAATTATCATAATCATGATTTTAGTGGGCTTATACCTTGCCTAGACTTTACCCCATCCGTCGGCTGAGAGCTGCAGGTTACATCTCACACCAGGTCGTATTCTTGCCGAGGGCGCGATGGGACTTGGTACCACTATTTTTTGCCATTGGACAGGTAGTCATGGAATAATATTAACTATCTACTCTTAATTGAAAGTTTAGGCAGCAAACTTAGCGCTCTGATTGAGACAGGGGGTTACAGAGTGAAGAAAGACTAGAAAAAGAAGACCAGAAAAAGAAACACAAGGCGGCTATTGTTCTGTTTCAACAGGTTCAACAAAGGCAGTGCCGAAAATAAAATCATGCAGAAACATTAAAAATAGAGATCAAGATCCTGCATCAGAGGACGTACTACGGAGTAGTTTGAAACTCAACGGCGACAAATCTGATCGACAAGACCAGCCGAGAGCCAGTCAGCCCTGACAGGTTGAGACGAACTGAAGGATCCGCTCATACCCGGCGCTCCGCCGGGGTCTCTTTTCCGGGAATGCAGATCCGTGATTGGAGCAGAGGCCTGTCTGGCTTGCCGCCAGGATCTCGCATCGGGATTAATGGCCGATACTGGCCAGGGGACTGTATCGTCTAGCGCCGAAGAAAAAGAAATAGAGTTTACACGTCCGTTAATATTTTTGGGTAGATCGAGATAGATGATCTCACCTATCTCACCGTCCATCCTCAAAGACGCAAACGGAAAAGTGAAATAAAGTGCGAGGCGCAGGTTGTGGCGGTGTTCCAAAGTCACGTGTGCGTCGGAACATTCCCCAAGGAAATCGTTGCCTAAGGCTTTCATACAAAGTCCACCATCCATAGCTCGGATTTGATTTACCTCAACTTAATTGACTAACCACATCATTGCAATCCATACCGGAACTTGAACCAATTCAAAACTCATAAAAGCAAATCCTCGAAAGGAGCTTATCTCATCAATATCAACAATCACAATCACAATCACAATCACAATCAATACAACACCAACAACAACCCCGCCCAACCTGCAATGACAACCAACACACCACCCGAGCCCCAAACAATGACCCCAGCAACACCAGCGCGTGCCAGCGCACTCCTCTCAAATCTCACAGCCGTGCGCGCGCGAGTGAGCACAGCCGTCCTTCAATCCCCAATCCCCAGCAAACCAATCCGACTGGTTGCTGTCTCCAAGCTCAAGCCCGCATCCGACGCACTGGCACTGCACCAAGCTCCAGGGTCGCAACTCCACTTCGGCGAGAACTACCTTCAAGAACTACTCGAGAAATCACGGCTGCTGCCCGCAACCATCAAATGGCACTTCATCGGCGGTCTGCAGAGCAACAAGTGCGTGACGCTTGCGCGGGATGTGCGCGGGCTGTGGGCAGTCGAGAGCGTGGACTCGGAGAAGAAGGCGAAGTTGTTGGATAAGGGCTGGGGCGAGAGGGGTCCTGAGATGGCGGCTACGAACCACGACGAGGATGGGAGGCTGCGGATCTATGTTCAGATTAATACGTCTGGTGAGGAGAACAAGGCTGGTGTTGAGCCTGCTGGCGCGGCGGCGCTTTGTCGATATGTTCGTGAGCAGTGTCCTCGGCTTAAGTTGCAGGGGTTCATGACCATTGGAGCTATTGCGAGGTCGCAGGCGACGACGGTGGAGAATGAGAATGAGGATTTTGTTTGTTTGAGGGAGACGAGGGAGCGGGTTGTTAAAGAGCTTGGGTTGGTTGGAGAGGAGGCTGAATTGGAGCTTAGTATGGGGATGAGCTCGGATTTTGAGGGGGCGATTGCTCTTGGTAGTGATCAGGTTAGGGTTGGAACTACCATCTTTGGGGATCGCCCGCCCAAGGCGGAGGCGAGTGTTGTTTGATCGAAGGTTGGGGTGGTTATGATTTACGATTGCGTGAGGATTAGATTTTAAAAAGTATTGGGCTTCTGGTGGTATCACCACGGAGAATGCTAATCATTAGATGTACCGTATGTATAGCACTTCTATTGTTACTTTACTGGCAAGGATTTATACACAGAGAGATGCGATGTTCCACCAGGAACTTGCTAATATTTTACTTGGTAATCTAGTAAGAGATATACATGAATGCTTCCATATCACCTGCAGACGCCTAATCGAAGGCCTCGTCTGCTCTCATGCCCTGCGCCAGCTTCACCTCCATCTGTCTAACCAGTGACTGTGGGACCTCTTCTTGGGTGGCACGAACCGTGACGCGATACATCTGAGCAAAAGGGTTAGCATGCCGATACCAAAAGGACCAAAAAGACTTCTAATACATACCTTCTTCTCGTAGTTGGGCTCCAACCGCAGCAGACAGCCCGTCTTACCTCCCTCGAATTGGTACACAGCGCAACCGACAATGTTTTGAGAGTTTGGATCGACACCATCCAAAATCTTGAATGCGAATCCCTCGACAATCTTCCGAGTGAATCTCTCGTTGACGGTCTTGTTCTTACCCAGCAAGCCAAAGGTCTTCTGGGATTCCAGCGGTCCACCGCCAATCTGGCGCCATCGCTTGAAGAATTCCTCGGCTGACAGAGACGAGGATTCCATGTAGCGGTGCATCAGAACAGGCAGCTGGAGTGTATAAGCCTGGAGAGCACCGGCCAAGTATGAGATACGAATGGTAGGCGCATCCGTGAAGGGACCGTGGGCAGTGCAGAACAGAGTCTGCTGCGTCTGCCCGGCAGCCGGGATTGTTGGCTCGGGCAGGCTCTTCGTGTCGATCTTTAATTGAGGAGAGGCCGGGTTGTCTACGGTGGTGGTAAGAGACCCGATGGGGTACGTGGACTTGTTCGAGATGTAGAGCTTCACGACACCCATAGGACCGCGGTACTCCGAGCGCAGTCCAACCTGGATCTGTGCATCTTCGAAAAGCACACCCTCGCGCGAGAAGAATAGCCGGTTGTAGCCGATGTCCCATTCTGGGGTGAGATGAGCGGCACTGGCCATGTTGGGAGCCGGGGCTGATGGACCGCTGAGGTCCAGGCCTGCCAGGTCGCCCGATGCACTGAGCGCATTGGACGCGCTTGTGGGGGTGGCTGGAGCACTACCGGATCCAGTACGCGTGCCATGAACGATTGTCGTGAAGGTGCGCTTGAGACCGGTGTTTTGTGCCAAGAGCATTTCTTGCTTGTCCGCATTCGCGTCCTTGCCGCCGATAACCCAGGTCTTCTTCTCACTCGCACCGGCTGTCTTCTGGTGCAGCCGGGAAAGTAGGATAGAGGTTCGCTCTGAGAATGGTGGCATCTCATCACAGACCGTTCGCAGTAGATCATCGGTCGGGAGAGTCGCCAGCGACAGGTACTCAAATGCTCGCTGCTGCAGTTCAGAATCGGGAGAGTGGCTGTACAGGCGGAAGATTTGCAAGAGCTGAGGTTTGATTTCGGGGAACAAATTCACGAATTTGACAAACGACGAGAGGATCATGGCGCGCGCGTTGTCGGAACTGGAGAACATCTTGGCCTGCAGGGCCAGGAACTGCTCAATAGGGC